TACTGCACACCGCATATTTTTAGAAAATGTCAAAAAGAACGAAGCCTCCACCATATTATATTATTATTTCTCTCGCAGCGTTTTAGAAAAAAAAAATAAAGGTTAATCGAATAAAACACGACGACGGTTCGTAAATAAAACAACTCCTATACATGCCGCCTATACATGTGTGTGTGTGTGTGTGTGTAATACTATAATATACGCCATCGGTCTGATAAAAAAATCGACGCACGTTTACTCCGATGGTATTAATAATACATATATACATACCTATACGATACAGTACTGCACACTGCGTCTGCCAATATATTGAATATATACACCACTCACTATATATCGGTGCAAGCGAATAGTGAAAAATCCATAAAAGAGACTTTATACAACTAATAATATATGATATTATGTAGGTCCTCTACCTATATTATTATTATTATTATTATTCGAACCGGCAGTGAGAGATAATTCGATATATATTTTTTTTTGTACATACATATATAACAATGCGACCAGCGACGGTCGCTACAGATGCGAGACGAAAGGGGTGCGTTTCCATCTGATGATGTGCGTAATGGATAGATTTATCTTCTTTTTTTGTCATTCTCTTAACGAACTCGCCGTCTATCAGTTGATTGCGGTTTCGATTTGTTTCCTCCGCAACACGCGAGCTTTTCGCCGACAAAGACGAGACTTTTATACCTGATATATAATATGTATTATATATTATATTGTATACACAAATCCGACATTGCGACGTAGTAGGTGAACCATCTACCTATATACCTATCGTATTATCTATGCCTACCTATAACAATAATAATAAACAAAACAAAATATTGAGAATACACACAGACTTTGGGTAAATAAATTCATGTTTTACTTATCGTTCATGATACCTTTATTTTTTTATATTAGTATTATATACAAATGAATTAGAAATATTAAGAATAGGAGCAATGTTTCTGCAGGTTTTCAATTTTGTAGCTCGTTCAATATCAACTTCAATACTGTACATTTTCATCTATTTATTTTTGTTAATTTATTTTTACAGAGTACACCGTGTGAAAAACAACGTTGCAGGCTGCTGGAATTAAAAAGCATACTAAATAATAGATAAATGATTAACAAAAGGGTCAACAATATAACATATTAAAGATAGCAATACCTATTTATATATGTGTACAGAAATTCACAGAATTTACAATCTGCGTGTACACAAAATTAGTTTATACCTTAAATGGATATTCCCAATACCCAATGAAAATGGCGCTCTTCAGGACCACCTGCAACATTAAATCTACTCCTAAATCCTAATTTGGCAATGGGCCTTTAAGCACTATAATGTGTGCGGACAACCAACTACTGCACCCATTGAGAAAACCCCAGGACCAAATCCACATCATAGCATTGAAATTAAAAAAAAATTGTCATACACATTTTAGCATGTATTTGCACTGCCGTGGTAACAGGCAATAATCATAATATACCGCCGAATATTCATACTCGGATTCATCTTGGTTATTAGTACTCCCGGTAAAAATTTTCCAGGATATATACACCCCTCGCCACAAATTATTTAGGTAACAGGGGTACAATTATTATCCTAGGAAATTTTTCCTGGGACTCGGGAGTATTATTAACCTAGAAAAATCATATCCCCAGGGATATGATTCCCCTGCTATACTAAATATTGATTAAGAACAAATTTTGAAACTCCTAGTTTTTCGTGTCAGGGTGGGGGCTGAGGATACTTGCGAATTTAGTCAATGGATTTTGCGAACCAATGGATAAGAATAGAGTTTCGGGACCGACCATGCAAATACATTGCTAATTAAACATGCTAAATTTTAACATTCTAATGCGGAGGAGGTTCTGGGGACAGATTACGTCGAAATAGGTGTAGTGTGTACTTCGGATTTCATATTCATTCACCCGTCAAAAGAAGCGATTTTCCACAATCAATAACCAACCAATGAGCACCGGTTATTCAACACGCGCTTAAATTGTCGTAATACAACAAAACCTAAAGGCTAAACAGTAGAACAATATTCTAAAAGTCCAAGAGACCTACACCTGGAGTAACCAATGAATACTTAGAAAGTCATTATAAGCGCTTCCCAGATCTACAGCGAAAAAACGATCAGTGGCAGCAGAATCTTGGCTGCAAACACCGATCTCGTATCGAAAGTATACCACAAAATAAAAACAAATCCAAATTAATTTGAATGCCTACAACCACTGTGGTCTGATGAACCGTTTTTTTTTTCTCGTTCAAATGTTATTTCAGCTCTTCCCCTTGGCTTAGAAAAACAAGCACAATAAATTGTTTAACTAGTGATTAAGTTTAATAAAGTGTTTTTCATGATAAACAATTGATTTTGTAATTCTTTTTAGTTCTAACAACTGACGTTTGTATATACATAAATTGATAAATATATTATATACATATATTTCTGCATTCGTATATATAGGTGAGCTATTTGTGGGCCTCAAAGATTTTTTTATAAAATTGGTGGTCCGCACAACTAAAAAGGTTGGGAACCGCTGATATATCATATAATATTATGAAGGTATATAATAGGTACCTACTTATTAGGTATGTAGTACGACTTCGCGTGTTGACGGTGATGCACAACGCAGGACGATCGAAATAATGACGACCGGAAACGGAAATATAACAACAACAATAATAATAATAATAGTTATTAGAATGTTAATAATTGTAATGATTAAAATGATTAATAATATTATTTAGTGGCAACTCGACACCGTAAAAAACGCGTTTAATGTATTGCCGAGTTATACGGAGTTAAAAACATCGAAAATCCTTCTCGTGAAAACACATCAGTCTCGTCTGCACGACTATACAGTATACACATTATTAATAATTATTTTATATCGCATGTTCGTTGGGGGTTTTAAGTACTGTTTTAACTGTTTTAAGATTACACGTGTGCACGACTGTTTACGGCTATCACTTCGTATAAATATAATATTATATTAAATCGGGGTTTTAACTCGATGCAGCTGCTCACCCCGAATTACTCGTGTACTTATATATTGGTAATATACCGGTAAAACCGGAGAGCTATATAATTCCGAGAAACTCTGCGGAGAACCGCTATTTGCAACGATAATAATGTATTATAATTATGCAATTCACTATTATAATTTGACTTGAGTTAATTATCTTCATTAACTTGCCCACCTTTGAGTAGGTACCTAATACCTATATCTATTAATATAATAATACAATACATATTTTATTGTACCTACTTGGAAATTAAAAAAAAATCAAATTATACTCTATAAATGGCCGATTTCACAACAGTCCATGGCAGTGGTTTTCAACCTTTTCGGTTCACGGCACACAAAGTTATACATCACAAGTTATCGCGGCACACTCACGCGCTTGACAACCACAGCAGCTTCAACAACTTCGCCGGAGTCAATAATTATCGCCACAAGCCTACACAAGAATATTCTCGCGGCACACCGGTTGAGAACCACTGGTCTATGGTATATCGTACACATAATATTATATAAGTAATACGAGTGCCATAAGTTTCCTTTTCATTTCACTCCCAGCTCGCCCTCAAAACTATATCGAACTCGGCGGCAATGCCAAAGGCCCTTGGGCGACTCACTTAGCTCACTGAGAGCCCCAAACATAAACTTGCGGTGAAGCACCGCACTCGGCCGCGACAAGACACCACCAAAACCGAAGACGAACGATACGTAGACGGTGACGAGTAGGTATTGTCATCGCAAAAAAGCTCGTACGGCACGACGAGCCCCAGAATAGAATCGACGATGGACAAGCAGTGCTCTCAGTATAACTATAGTTTAAAATTAAGTACTTACAAGAGACTATTTTTGGTAAAATGATGAGCAATTAGAGACCAAACTTAGCAATGTCGCAATGAATAATACCAGGAATAGTGTGACAAAAATTAATCACATGTTATTTACGATATACCTACTCATAATTTATTTTAGTAGTGAGAAATACCAAAAGTAATAACTAATAATGAATAATAAATTACCTACTAAATTAACGACGAATCATGATCTAAGCACAGAATAGATTAATTTAATTTAATTTAATTTAATTTAATCTATTCTGTGATCTAAGTATATTTTCTAGTGTCTAAAGTGTATTTTAATTCATGATTAGGTACCACATAATAACAGCATTGTTCTGTGAATTTTGCGATCTCGACAGAAATCGTTAAAATTTCGTATAAACAAGACTTCTTCCACCAGGTTCAACGATAATGTATTGTCCGTTATATAAATGTTACTCTCATATATTAATTATACTTAAAATGTTTGCCTGGAAATGAATATAATGTATACAGCGTGTTTCTGAAATGGACGAGGTAACTAGTATAGGTATGCGCTCTGCGGCCTGCGCGGTGACCCAATGAAAATTTTTTTCTCTCTTCAAAATCTGGGTTTATTCAATTTATTTTTAGAACATTACCTTAAATGTAAAAATAAATACTCAAGTTGTATTTTTTGCAAAACTCAAATGAATCGAGGTGCCACTTTCGCGCTTGTCGAGCGTTTTTCACTCTTGAATCGCCGATTTAAAAAAAAAATGATTTGTATGAGAAAAATACAAGATAACCAGTAGTGACAGTTATTTGTCGTCATTTAACATACACGATTAATTAACACACTGTTTTACATTGTAAAATAATCATAATTGGATAAACTTTATTTTTAAAATCAATTTTGATCTACAAAAATTGTTCAATGTGACCAACGGGGGTATAAAATATAAATTAAGTCACCGATATTATCATTTTAAGTTTGATAACAGGTGTATATTAATTTAAACTGGTGATAATGTGAGGGGTGTCACAGCTCAATATTTTCTTGATTTCAAATATAACACACCCATTACAATGTCCTACTCAATGACGTTGTAACTTTGGCAGCATAAGGACCTCCCCGGGTTTCTTAATATTCAGTTTATCAAAATATTTTATTTACTATCTTAACTCTTAATGTTGCAGTGCAAATCATTTATTTGTTTCCTTATACTACACAAATGGGTCAACAAACAAAGAATAATATGATTTCTTTAAATAATATATGTGTACATATTAAATTGTTTGACAAATTGTTTTTTCTCTATATGAAATATATTGAAATAGATAATTGATAAAGATAATTATTATGAACATGTGCTAAATATATTTAATACAAGGGGGATCCTTAATTATTTAATATTTTGCATTTGTAATGGTATTAATTTACACAACTCTGTTGGTCACTCTTTAACACTACCTATGATAGTATATAAGTCGTTAATAATAATAAATTTTATAATATAATTAAAACACTATTTTTCATAAAATAAATTAAGATCACAACATAAATAATAATAAAGACAACAAGTCTAAATACATAAGATACAATAGTCATATTATAATAAAGTTGCACACAATTCTGTATACTATGGTCTATTAGGATACAATTAATTAATTATATAACTATAAATTTAGGGAAAATATTTAATAGTTAAAAACACATGACTAGACTAAAGATGACTAGAATAAACGTTACAAGTCTACAAATGTCGTTCTTTTTAACAAAACGAGTATTACATTCCAAACTGTGTATTATTAGCTTGGCTGTTATTGGGCATGAAATTGTTTTCAGCAGCTAAAAGTGCGGTAAGGGTGGAATGTGTGGTTGCCAATCCTGTGTTATTGTTTGGCGATGAATGTGGAATTTCATTGTGTTGTGGTAATCTTTCACCATATTCGAGCATATTTAACGCTTCAGCAAGTGTTGTGGATGTTCCTAATTATTACAAACATAAAATAACATATTTTAAATAATTAGATTTAATGTTAATGTTTTCAACTAAAATATAATTCATAAAATAATTATTCATTGTAGTTTTATAAATTTACTATACTGAAATTGTATTCCATAAAAATATTACTTCAAACTCAATGTAATAGTGTAAAAATATGTTATCAATATAGCAAGGATTTTTATGCTCTAAAAATTGTAAAAACATGCAACAAATATGCAAGAAAAAAACCTTAAATTGTGTATTATACCAAACAATTTATAATTGAATAATACTAAAACAAATAATCACTTAGTGCCTACACAATGTATTATTAAATTTTATGCTTGACAAAATATTATTTTTAAATTTTCACTTCAATATGCAATGCATTTTGAATTTTGTCAAAATATGCAGAAATATACAATAGCCAATAATTATTAAGGATGCACTTATTTGTAAATAAACAAACAGCGATTAGATTCAAACTATTAGAGTTCTTAAAGATTACTGACAAAAATTCCAAAAATATGCAATTGAATACAAATCTCTTCTAAAATTAGAAAAAAATATTTTTGTAGTATACAGGTGTAAAACTCGAATAATAAAAAAAAGGCATGGGCACATTTTTTTGAAAGATTTGAGGTGTAGTGCAGTAGAAGGAATATATAGTATTATGTGTGAGCTGGATAAAACAACAAACAAAATAAAAGCAAACTTAAATAAATGAATGAGTATACATGAAACAATTAAGAATGTAAGATCTTGGATATATATCAAGGCATGAACTAATTTAAAGAAAATGTATTGCAAGACAGATGAAGATGAACATAGTTTATTAAATGAGAGATATCCAACACAGAATTATTTAGTATTAAGAGGCTAGTAGGTATCAAGAAAGAGGATATAAGACTGAAAAAGTAACTTCAAGTCTTCAAACACTATATATATATGAATATATAAATATAAAGATTGATAAATTATACTTAAATATTGCATTAATAAAATATTGTATGGTATAATTTGTTAAGTCACTTGAGTGTGCGTTTAATCTGATAATATAATGTGACCACATCAATACCTATGACATAATTGAGTGCCGAATTATTATTTATTGGGATTTTTCATAAGGGCTTACTATTATTTTTAATATGTAGTATTTTTTTCAATTTTGAAGAAATAAAGATTGTCAAATAATAATAATACCTGAGATGATGATACTGCTGGATTCTGAATGGGATTGAGTAATTGAAGAATTTGTATTTTCATTCAAAGTTATACTGCACACCTACAACATAATAATTTGATGTCACATAAATATATATCAGTACAAATATGGTACAAATGTTGTAAGTTAATATCCATAAATTATTAAATAATAAATAGGTATAATTTTATACTCATACAGGTTGCTCTTCAATTTCACCATTTTCAGTAATAATAATTTGCTGAGGAGACTGCAATTCTGGAGGTTTATTGAGAATCATTGTGGATCTTACTTTGTTCAATATAAACTCTGGTAATTCAAAACCTTTAAGTTCATGAGGATTATTTCTGAAAATTATTATAATCATTAAAAAAGCTAGATAAAATGTAATAAATTATGAAATAAAATTACAAAAATGTAAAGTATGTATTGGTTAAGTGTGTTAGTAGCTAGTAAGATTCGTTAATAGTGTATGCAGATGTAATAATAATAGCTGAAGCTCAAGATAATCCAATGAAGACTACAAAAGTACTATTAAATAAAGGTAAAGGGATCTTTTTTAAAATACAAGGGAAAAAGAAAGTATATGATATAATCCAGTTTACAACACAGAACTAGGAAATAGATGAATACACATTTGAAAGAGTGGAATATTTTGTTATTATAAGTACATTATTGTGAGTTGCTTGAAAAATATATTAATTTAATCATTCAATACAATTTAATGCACCGATCACGGGCCCACTAAACTATTTTAAACGTCATTATTTACACTATCACTTTAATATTGATTCTTTAAATGTTTAGGAATTGTTCATGCAACCCGACATTAATGTGGAAGTTAATGAAAGTGCAAACAGTTATCAAGAGTTAAAAGAAAGACATAGCAACCAACAGATTCTAGTTTGAATAACTGCTCCTATTTGTTTTTAAATCTTAAATATTAGTTTTATTTGAAATATTTATCTGTGTTTTATTAAGAAGTATGAGAATTTGAAATGGTAATATTTTATATACTCATTTGTTAAAAAATTTAAATATTATTAAGCTAACTACACAAAATTGGTATATCTAAACACAAATTGATCATGTTATATACTAATATGTCAGACAAAAACAACATATAGAGGTGTGGCATACTTAAAAAAATCTGAGATAAAATTTTCATTACAACATAAATTATTTCTAAGAAACAGTAAGTTTTTTAAAAATAAATATTTAAAAAATTTAAATTAGTTATGTTCTGATTTAATTTATTTTGATAGGTGTATGCAAATTACTTAAATGTGTTGGGTGTTTAATGTAAGTGTATTCATTATTCTTAAACATCTCTGAATAAAAATAAAAATTACTTCTGATTCACAGTGCTCAATATTGATTGCACATCGTCCAATAACAGTATTGAAGTTGCATTTACAGATGTAGGTGGTGGTAAAACAAACATTTTTTGCTTCATTAGCCAATCACGATCTTCCATATCAATAGTATATTGAAAAAGTTCTGGATGTTTATTGCCCATACGACCTCCCCTCTGTAAAATAAACATAAATTACTTAATTTACTTATTAAAGATAATATTAAATTAAACAGTATAAATGTGTAATTTTGATTAAAAAAAAAAAATAATAATAATTAAAAGATACTCTACCTTGTTAGCAGCTCTTGTAGCCAACACAAACAATGTTTGAGAATGAATTTTCACTGGGTCCCAAGTGGACTGAAATCTATGAAATTTTACCAACGGTGTCTGCGATGATGTTTGTTCAATTGTAGGAGAAAGATTATTTTCAGGCTCTTGAACAGGTGGCTCTTTGCGTTTTAGTAGAGATCTATTCTGTAAATAAAAGTTATTGAGTATCAGTATTGTTAAATAGTATTTATTTTTGACTATGCCAAAAGTAAATTGCTTAAGTACTTTGGAATGTTGTTTTGCAAATCGCGATTCAATTAACATGTCTGTAGTTTGTGCAGTATTAAATGGGGAATTACTGCCAGACAACGGTGGATTTGAATACATTAACTTTGCCTCATCTAACATTGTTCTACATACTTCTCTCACATGATCTTCAGTTACACAATTTGAACCCAAATTATTTTTAACATTGTCAATAGCCAAGCCAAAATATGACTGAAAAAGTCATTATCATAATTATTGTTATGCAAATAAATAAACTAGTAGTTAATACTTACTGTCAAATATTTTTTAATAACGTTATCAATATCTTTATTAATTGAATTCTGTAAATTTTGTCGCAACAGGTCTAAAGATTTTGCAGCATTTACCAAATTCTTTGCACGCATCTTTGCCGCTTTTGTAGTAGCTTTATCATTACCATTAGCTACATCAATTATATTAGCAAGTGTCACTTGGCGCATATTGAACGTACTTTTCTAGAAAAAAGAATAATGACAACTTATGAAATAGATGTTAAGTGAATTCAGTTAGATAGCTTGTCCAAATCAATGGACACACATACCCATGGGACAAAATTTTCACTGGTTATCACTTCCAAATCAAATACTGGAGCTTGCCGAACAAGGGGTACAGGCTTAGACGACCTATGGAAATTGGTTGGCTGTTGGGTCACCATTTGTTGTAATTGCTGGTCATCGTTTAAGTGTTTTATTGGGAGTTTATGGACAACCATTTTATAATAACAAAACAACGGAGTTTGCAAGACCGTTAAAACGCGTTTAATCTAGAAAAAAATCATCAACCCGACAACTATTACAGACATTATTGTAAATAGTGTTAATACCAATCAGCAGAAATCAGAATCCAGAACATCTCTCTACAGACTTAAGCGTTAATTAATTAATGATACGTCTTATGATAATATCACAGAATAGATTAAATTTAATCTATTCTGTGGTTATGCTCCTGGAGAAAAAACGTACGCCCACACTGACGCGATACCTGTTATCATTATTATCATTTATAGTGCATGTGTGTTGTGTGAATTTGTGTTCTTTCTGTACTCTACTACTCTGTTGTGTACTTGATCTGTTGTTCGGTGGTCTTTGAAACTTTGCGTCTGAGTTTGAAAATTCTTATTAGAAAACCGTCGATCAGTTTATTAGAAAAAATTCTGATTTTCCATATCACACATTGATTCTAAATGGACGGTGCAAGTGCAGTAACAACGGTGAGGTATGAAGATTATGTCGAGTATTTTCTGTTCGTTCGGTCAGATGACAGCGAAGAGGATGCCGAAGAACTGGTGAAGCATATTAACCACTTGAACACTAAGGCATTGGAGTTGGTAGATCGGCTGTCCGAACAGTATATATGGCACAAGGACAGGTTCAATTTGATACCACGGTTTTGTCCATCAGCTGAACTGAGACAGTCATTTTCGGATACTTCCGACGGTAATACCTAATATTTTATTACAACTTAATTTACCTAATATTTTTCTATTAGAACCCATCCCCCTTCCATTCTACCCAGTTATGGACAATCCACAATTACACCACAAAACAGATCTATTCCACTATTGTTTAATGGTTCTGAGCCATATTTGCTTTTACTGTTTTCCAGAAGTATTACCTCCACATTTGTATGGTGTAACCCACTACGGTGATAATATTGAAGACGAATGGTTTATTGTATACTTGCTGAAAGAGATCACAAAGGAATATCCTGAACTAGTCGCTCGGTATGTACATTTTAATTTGTTGCTTATTCAATATTTTACATTCCTATGTTTAGTGTTATAGATTCGGACGGGGAATTTCTACTGATAGAAGCTGCAGAGTGTTTGCCTAATTGGGCAAATCCCGACAACTGTGATCAGAGGGTAATTCTATTTTTGTTTATGATAAAAGTACAAAATGTTATCTATCTTAATTTATTAATTGTCTTAAAAGGTCTACATAAGTGATGGTGATGTTCATATTATCCCATTAGTTAGTGCAAATAGTAGAAAATCAATTACTGTTTCACAAGCATTGGAACAGATTACCAAATATCCTACTGCTACTATAGCTACACAAGAAGTCAACTCTGCAATATCATCCCGTGTGCATGGGTAAAATCATATAAATTTAATTAAACTCATTTTAAATAATGTCAATTTTTTTTTAATTTACAGGTATCCTGGTAAAATTAAAGAAAATCTCCATTGCTGTCATGCTTATATACCAGTAGGTGTAGCGTACTTATTAAAACACCAACCTAGTCTAATAGCACCGGCTGTTATAGCATTTTGTCATAGAGATATGTTGGATGTTAAAGCATGCCAAACGATGAAGTAATTAGTTTAGTATCTAAATATCTATGGTAATTGTTAATAATTGTATCTACTTTTCTGTTTTTAGACATTTTCCTCCCAAAGAAAGAGTAATGCGTACAGTGACCATGACTAAATGTTTGTATGCTATGCTTATAAAACAAAAATGTGTTCCTGAAAAGAGAACTGGTTGGGATTTAGTTGAAACAACAGACTCGCGATACAAAGCACAAATTACAGGAATAAGAATAGTAAGTATGATAAATGTAACTTTTACTTAAATAAATTAAAAATTTGAACCTGTTTATATTTGGTATTATACCAGTGTTTGGAACGTTCACTAAAAAAATGAATGCAGTCATTGGGTTGTTCATTTAATTAAAATAAGTAAATATTATGATGTAATATATTTATTTTTCACATTTAAATATTTAAAATACATTAATATACCGTTTTAGTTACAACTTACGCTAATATATAAAATAAAATAATGTACCATCTTTAAGCACATGCTTGTGTTGGTGGTAGAGAGTCAAATTAGCATTATGAATAATTTAATTATACAATTGAAAAAACATAAAAAGTATACAAAACCCTGAATTTTAATAACATATTATGAACGATTTATTGTTACATATAATTAATCAATGTATTTCAAACATATATTTGTTAAATTGTAAATAAATTGAGAGTCTTAAAAATTGTTCAATTCATTGAAATATAAACATTCACATTCAATTTGAAAAAAAAACGAATGTTGGTTGCGTATCGTTCTCTAAGTATGAATTTGAGTTCCTGAAGGATATTTTTCCCTGATACTATTTATATTGTATTATAATCATAAATGAAATCTTAAAATATCAAATGGTTTTTAAAAATAAATTTTTACAATAAAATTTAATTTATGTGTGGGGGAAAGGCTTCCCTTATCCCCTTTTATCTTTAAAAAGTAATTTTGTTACAATTGCGTTACTTAAAGTTAAATGTAATGAAATTACTGCTGCGTTACTGAAAAAGTAATTGTGTTATAGTATATTGTAATTTGCGTTATGTTACTTCCCAACACTGCAGTTTTATAAAATTGTATGGCGGAAGAACTAAAATGTCTATTTTCCTTATGTAATAATAAATCTATATATACTTGAAAATTGTGCTGTACTAATGTATAGTTGTATGATTATTTTTTGTTAAGGCTTGCGGATTTGAAATATTGGTCAGTCAAGCAAAAACAACTGTCAAAGACGACACGCCTATAGATTTAACCTATGACAAACGTTGGCATCATTACAAATCTTCTTTAGCCGAAAAAGGATATTTTAAAGTAATAATTTATTTTATTTATTAGCTTATTTAACTTATTCAAATTAAACTCCACTATGGTGAAATTAGTTAAGTTAAATAATCTAAATAAAGTACCAATATTTATGTTTTTAATTTTCAATTTGGGGGACGAGGTGACCGAGTGGTCTGACGCGTCCGCTGCGATGCAGTCGGTCTCGGTTCGATCCTCGGCTACCGGGCGGCATTTTTCTCCGGACAAGTCGCGGTGACCGGAGAACAAGTGCTGCCATCCCCCACCCCCGGGTCATGGCAGAAACCTACGGGTGCCCCATTCGAAATTCTGCCAAATCAAACACACACATGTACCCCCTACCGTCCCAAAAACCTACAATACAAACCTTACAATACCTACTCTACAGCTAATGGCCACAGTTACCTGGCTCAAGATCAATAAAAAAAAAAATTTCACTTTATTTTTATTGATGCTTTGAAATAAAATTTGACCATTGATTCTAAGATATATCCTCTTATAATTATAAATATTTTAATATTAAGTTTCGTCTTGAAAGAAATTAGAGTTAAACAAAAAATATATTTTGTTTGATAAAATTAATTTAACATAGTGCAATTATTTAAACACTTAAATTAAAAATTTTCTCTAATTATTCTTGATTTACTAATCAAATACAATACTATGAGGTTGGAACTCAAAATTAATTTTTATTTTATAAAATTACCTCTTTTATCACAGATACAATAATCTCTTTAACACTATTCTTTATTTTTAATGAAGTAATTTTTCATTGAAGTCGTCTTACTAAAAAGTAAATACATATAAAAATGTAATTCCTATATTGTTATTAAACTCATTCAAAATATTTGCGAAACACAAAATTATTATAAAAAAAATGCCTCAAAAATCAAAATTACTTTATCCTTTCAGAAATATCTTGTTCCCTAAAGGCTTAAAATATAATTATAATTTAATGTTTGTTCAGTTTAGCTTATTATAATTGAATACTTATAGTCTAGCATTGAATATATATTATTATAAATGATTAAGCTATTAACACATTTGTTTACTAAAATCAGATTTATTTTAAACTATTATTAAATAATTCAGTATAAATTCAGTAAAAATTATTTCATAATAAATAACAATTGTTATGAATATTACAAATAAATAATAATATAACGAACAGAAAATAATAATATCTTTTATTGTGATTTTGTTTTTTGTTTATCTTTTAAAACTATCATAATAATTTATTTCTAACTGCATTTTTGTGCAATTATGTATGATGTAATTACATCCATTTTGGTTTTAAACTCTAAATGTATTGAGACTGTTAATTTTAACATCTATACGGCCTATTACTGGGGTTTTCCAACCTTTGGAATTGGATCCACGGCTTTACCAATTTTGAAAACAATTTAAATAGATCCCATAAAAATGATGATAATAATAAAATAAATAAATTTACAATTGTTTACTGCAGACAATTCTCTTAATAATAGTGCCGAAGTTACAAATATTTGCACCCTGAGCAAAACTTTATAATTGTATCTCCCTCTCAAGAATAACCAAATTAAATTTTGCTGAGGACTCAACCTTATTGTAGGTGGCGCCTGGTCACCCACCCTTAACGCTGGCCCTGTTTGATGATAACCAAATGCCTAATACCATTGACCCCGGGTATATTCATTCATTTAAGTATACACATTTACACTTTAAAAAAAAAACTGACAATTTCTTAGGTAAATTAGTTTAGCTTAAATTAAATATTTTTTAGGCATATTTTGAAATGGCAGATTTTAAATTTAAAAACTACACCTGTAACATACCTCAATCCTGGTTTCTTAAGAGGAAGTGTGTGCACCTGTATGTATTGTCATCATCCTACAAATGTACAATATAGAAAAAACTGTTTTGTGTGGGATAAAACCACTCAGGCTGTAGTGATAGTTAAGACCCCAAATATTGATATACAATAGAGTTGACTACATTTTCTGTGAAATTGTTTCAAAATCCATTATTTTTGTGTTTTTCAAATTTGAGTACATTTTTTGTAGCTCCGGTATCAAAAAAATAAAAACAGTATTTCACATCCAATCCAAACTTTTTTCTTTTTATGTGATAAAAAGTTGTAAATTCATATTTTGTTATGTGTGTTACAGAATTTATACGAAGGTTCAAATGGATACAAATTGTTAGAAGATCAAGCTAAACAGTATTATCTATCAAATGTAGATGAATATTTATCATCTCCATCAATTAGTCAAAGAATTAAAAATATTTTAGATGGTGTTACTGAACAAGAATTAGAACAGCTGAAAAACGATACCTCAGATTTAGAACCAGCTGATGATGAAAAGTGGTTAGATGTATCACCATCTGATTTAGATCGTATTCTTGAACAAAAGTTTGGATTGAAAAATTCTGAACAATCCTCTGCATCAAATTTTGCTTCCTCTTTTACTGACAAGATTAGAAGCTTTTTGAACCAAGCATCTGATATTAATGGAGCAGATTTTTCTAAAAATCATCTTAGGCAAGTAGAGATTATGATGAAGTGGAATATTAATTATTAACTGTTTGCATTATCTGAATACTTAATATCTAGCTACTAATAGTACATATTTTATATACTTGTATTTAATGTTTAATATTCATTGTAAACTTAAAAAATATTGTTTAATTGATAATTTAATTGATACAACAGTGACGATTCTGATGATTCTGATGATCAAGATAAACCTGATGATGATAAACTTTCCAACTTATTAGTTTGTGGACCAGACGTTATGCGTCCGACAAATGATGATAAAGATGCGGTAGCTGTTAGATACAAGAAAAATAAAAATAAAATAAATGAAAAAGGTAGTGTGAATTTTGAACCTGAAAAATATGAAGCTGCACTCAGAAGTATTTTAGGTATGGTTTAAATTAAATTCATTAGAACTATTAAAATATAGTTTTTACAAATGTTCTTGGTTTTAGATTTTAAAATTCCTGAAGACAATTGGGATGAGTCAAACAGTTCTGACATGGATTCATATGGCAGTGATTGTGATGACATAATGTCAGGTAATAAAATAGTTATTAATATCATTTTTCTCAAACATATGTTCTTTATAATCATTTTCTGTACCTATATTGAATTGAATTATCTTATATACTTAAGAGTTCATTAAATTATTATAGTAATTCTTGAATGCAAAACTAAACTTTTTCTTATTATTGATTTATAGTTGTACATTTAAATATTAACAATCAGAGAGACAATACAGATTTTGTTTAATTTTGTAAATCTTACTTGATTGTGTTTTTTTCTTGATAATCTAAATTTATAGGATACATTTTGATTTGTTGGGAATGACATTGAATTTTATCGAGAAAAAAAACATTTTTAAAATATTGACTGCACTCTTCACGATTGTTAGAATCTATGTTCAATAATGTAATTTGAAAAATGTTTTCATTGGGGATATTTGTAGATATTTACATTCATATGATTTTTGTAAAATATTTTCTCCTTTGATTACTATTTAGCTACCCTGGACGGCTGGACTTATACATCAAATCATAGTTAGCCACTTGCATTGCATGTTAAATAATGAATACCTTATACTTAAATAATATACTTATAACTTATACATCACTTTAAAATTAAAATATCAGTAAGTCTAAGATATATCTTATACAATTAAAATTTTTTTTATAACACTAATAAGTAATAATATTTGAAATAATACACAATATTTCATACAAAATGTTTTTGTGTTAACACATCAATTGTAAATAATTATTCAGAGTATTATAAGCTCACAATATACCCTAGATATCCTTAACTTTAAATTTGATTATATATCAATTCACTGTTTTATTAAAATTAACGATACAAAATAAATTCTGCTGAAAACAAATTTGCTAATTTGAATGTTTGTAAGAGGACAACCTAGGTTAAGTGTCCTTTAAGTTAAATTATATACTAACAATTGAACAAAATTTTTCATTATTGATGTTTAGGAAGTCAGGCTGGTGCGAGCCTTTCTAGTTATATGGCTCAAATGGATAAAGAATTAGCATCAACATCTTTAGGAAGTAGCTTTGTGAAAAAACCTGCAAGTGACAAAAATAAATTAAAAGTATGTAATAGACATTGTGTCCTCAATTATTTTGTTTTATATTGTTCTTTTAATTTCTTTCTTACAGAAAACTGTAAGAATAGACCCTACAGTCCAATGTCAAGACAGCGAAGAAGATAATTTCTCTGATGTGGAAGATTTTGAACCTGTCGACATAGATGTGAATACTTTTCAACACATTCTCAAATCATATCAAGAACAGCTTGGTTTACCGGGACCTGCTGGCAACCTCTTAGGACCAGCTGGTCTAAATTTGGGCCAAGAACCTTCTAAATAATTTTTTAGTCATAAAGTACAAATCACATTCTTCTCTTTTAATATACAATTTTTTTTATACATGCATATATATATATATATATTTAATTTACTCTCTAGTTTTTACAAATTAAATAATTCCATTTATTTTATATCTTTTAATATAAGTAATTGTTTCATCTTAATTAAGTTTTACAGAAAGAATTACAAAAAAAAATCAACTTTTTACGTCAGGTAATGACTATTTTTTAAAAACATCCATGATAATGTTTATTTACTCTAGTCATTATTTGTTTGGTCGTATTATATATGAATAAAATCAACTAATTCTATATGAAGTCTCTAACGTGTTCTATTTAAATGAATCACCTTTTGGATTCTTTTTGCTTACAGGTTATACACCAGCTAATTATAATATTTATACTGTTCTACCAACCTCTAGTCTAAACTTTAAAGTCTGAGCACTTTGTGTGTGGATACTTTGCGGAAATCAACAATTCAACTTAAAAAAATTTGTTTGATTTTTTTTATGATTTTATTTACACAAACATGGTAGGTACTATAGAAGCAATTAAAAAAAATTGATTTTGGTTTTCAAAAATCCAAATAACATTTAAAGTTTCATAATAAATGTAAGAAGATAGGTAAATCAAAAATTGTGCAAAAAAATCCACTAACATAAGCCGTTAAAAAAAAAATTATTTCCTTTACGAATCACGCTGTTATGATGTGTGTTGACATTCATTGATTAAAAAAAAAACCAAAAAAAAATATTAATCCTTAATATAAACAGGATACATGAGTAATAAATAATGTAATTGTAATTATTATTAGTCAAACACATAACATTATGATATCTGTCGTACATATTATTATTACTAATCCCGTAGATCAGTTTCGATTTTTACCATATTATAAATTATCGCGACTACAGTATGGAATGTACTAACTTAAGGTATTCGTTAATAATATTCTAAATTTGATTTGTGTCGTTAAAATAAAATTATCGATAAATTACAGAGCGGAGAGCGTGGACAAAACGATTCTTAAGTGATGGGGACGGGCTTTAAAATATTAAATGGAATTTCGATAAAACCAACAGATGGGGTGACCCATCAGAGACGAAAGAGCGATCATGAAACTCTTACGAACAGGTAAATACGATATAACACATATAGGTAATAATAAATAAAAATTTGAATATATATATATATACTTAGTCCTTCGAGTGTGTTTATGCGATCGGCGTTAAAACTTAAAAGACGCTTCACTGATACGTGGAAACTACGCGGGCAAAGATCATCGGAAACAAAATATTATATTATGTGCGCCGATAAGCTTGATGGACCGAATGACTTATGTGTGTGTGTTAATTGATTCGGATAAATAATATAACCGATAATGTTACAAATCGCATAGAGAGGGCGGGTGGATGGGCGGGAATAAATTATTATTATTATTGTGATTTAGACGATTAGTATTTGGAGCAGACGAGCAGTATACCTATTAAGTTTATATTATTGTAATCACCGTTTCAGTTGGTCGGCAGTTGTGCGTGCGGTAGGTTTAGTATAATATAATATTATATTGGACATCGATTTGCCAGGGCCTGCGAATGGTTTTGTTTTAAACATTTTAAACCGATTTTTGCGCGCCATCACCCGATTATTTTGCATTCCGTCGCGGCCCTGGCGCAAACGATCGAAGACGAAACGACGACAATATATTATAATATAAAATATACCTATCATGGACTTGATAGAAGTGGCACTAGATCACAACGACAGTGCATTGGAAATTCAATACGATTTGGAAGACGAGCCAGATATTAGGAAGCGTGTCGATGTTTGTCTGGTATACGGCGTCAACGGAAAGCCGCCATCGTACCTCACACCGCTGTTGGCCGTACAGGTAAAAATATGCTAACATTAAGAAAATATATTATTTATTTAGAGCTCAATTTTTCGTACGATCTCGTGACTCCACTACTTTAAACGTGAAAGTACCCATTTAATTATCCCGCCGACAACGATGCCAGTATTTTAGATTCTAGTTTTACAACAATGTAGATATATCGTTTTCTCATATCTGAGATCATTTTAAATTTCTTTTTAGGGTAAAAACATTAATCCTTATACCCCTAGCGAATACTCAAATATAAATAGGAATATATTTTGAAAATAAACTTAGCATTTTTGCGGTTTTTATGCTGGTATATATTGAATAAAGTTCGTAATATTGAAACAAGCAAAGATTTTCAAATGTTAAATGTTAAAAATATTTAAAGGTATAAATTTACTTAATGGTATAGAAAAGTTTATTTTTTTAATTTTAATGTACTTTCACTATAAGTACATTTATTTTTAAACTAATTTTAATCTGTTAAAACCTTAAAACTTAAAACAGTAAAAATATTGACCACATTTTGTATAGTCAACAATAATTTTGGTACAATTTTTTTCAAATAATCTAATATTTAACACTTCTGCGATAGGGCGACTCGTTAACTAATTATAAATACCTGTATATACTTATGCCTTACTAGTTATTCCTGTAGTAAAATAGGTACATATATATATATATAATGTGTGAAAATATGAATTAAGCAAGGACACACAAAAAATATGTATGTATTGTTATTATTGTTGTAAATATTTTTCAGAACGTAGTTACCACTTTAAGTTGTTTGATCTTCGTGTATAATATTTTGGCCCCGAAACTGTGCATTTTGCCAGAAGACCCAGCACGTGCACACTTGCTGGCCACAGCCGTCATGATGGCCGGCATCGGAACCTTGATGCAGACAATTTTGGGTGTCAGGTGAGCATAAATATTTATTAATTAATTATTTTCACCGATCATGTAAATTTAGGCCTACTAATATATTGTCATAACATTCAAAGGTTAAGCAATATAATTAGCGACATATTTTAGATTTTTAGAGGAGCGATGAATGTATTCATTTTTTAAATTATTTTTATATTTATTAATTTAGTTGTGTCAATACACCAGGTATTTTTACAATGTTATATTAATTTTACAATGATTTGTGTTTTTCATTTTTATGAAACGAGAATTTTTTTGCAAAAACAGTTTTTCACAAAATCGAATTAGTTTTTTTGGTATAACTCACAAACGTATAACCGTATACGTTGTTGAGCTATTTATACGCATAAGAAAATTTTTTATTTTGAAATATTGTTGATAAAAAAATTCACTTGGTTAAAATACTTGAACATTTATTACGCATGGTTATTCATAGTTTTTTTTAGTGAAAAAATAAAAAAAAGTTGAATATAAATCACCAAAATTTTTTTTATGAACATCTGAAATTAGAATTTTTTAACGAAATTTGTCAAATTTACTCAAATTTTCAAATTAATTTGAGTTCGAAATTCATAAAAAAATTTGTATTTATAATTAAGATTTTAAAATTGAATCCAAGATTTCTCATTACTATTCTTACCTTTAACAAACAAAAAAGTCAAATAATTTTCTTTTATGAATGATTTTTAAATTGGAAACACCTGTAAATCAACTAATTTTGAGCTAATTATAGATTAAAATTGTTTTATTTCTTGCTTAAAAATTTAATAGAAGGTTACTTATAAGTTGTTTTAATAGCGTATATAAACTATGAAAGATTCATAATCATGAGTTCTAATGTTGACAAAATTTATCAAAGTATCGAGAACTTGAAAATTATTCTGTAGTTAAAAATGCATTAAATGTTCAACTTTTATACCTGAGGATTGAAATTTTAAAACAATAGGTTTCTCAGCTTTTATAAGTAGTTCATACTGTAACAAAAAAATCTAAATAATAAATAAACATTGTTTTTTTATAAATATTTTAAGTTTGAATTAGGCCGAATAAGTTTGATATATAACGGAGAATAACAATTTTAATTATTTTTTGTAAATTAAAAATAATATTTGGGATTCTTACATTTTTTAAAGTAGGTATATTGTTATAGATATTGAATACAAAATAACATTTTCAATACTTATTATAGTTAGAATAACCCCATATCAGAACTAACTGCTAATTGCATACTGACAATTTTTTTATTTGTTAATTATGGTTTCCATTTATAACAATAACGCCCCTTGCCCAAAATACATATTTTATAGCATCAGGACTGTAACACCCTCTAACAATATTAGAATCTAACTGAGAGGTAATAGATTATTTTATGAAATTTCATGTGTCCTGTGAGTTGCGATGAAAAAATTTGATTCGTATATTTGTTAATATTTATAGGTGACTATACCTATTATATTATGTCTCACGTGCTTTACTAATGTTTGTATAGCCTACTATTCTTATGGCACTTTTTAATAATATGATTACTCTAATAGTCATGCAGGTACTAGGTGTCGTTTCATTGGCAGACAGGAGAGTTAATACCAATGTAGTTTTTGAAAAAACTAGTGAATGGTCGCATTGATGCTCCCTCACTTCTTGCATTGGTCAATTTCAAGGTTCCTTCTCGCACTACTCGACTCCATGTCCCTTTTTTAGTTCCTGCGCACACTACCAATTATGGCAGAAATAATCCTATTGATCGCATGATGCGGCTGGTTAATGAGAGTACCATTTATCATCATATATTATAATTTAGAAAATTGTTGGACTACTATTGAATTATTATTACTTTATATTAAGTACCTATTATTTTTATTATTATTATTATTATTATTATTATTATTATTGAATTATTATCATGTTTAAACTTTTATATTGTATCTAAATTTTAATTGTTTTGTGTTAAATTGTTGTAAAGGGCTTCGCCCGTTAATATATATAAATAAATAAATAAATAAATAATATCAAATAGGCTTCCGATCGTGCAGACCAGTGGATTTGTGTACCTTTCTTGCACTCTACCCATATTGGATCTTCCGAAATGGCAGTGTAATAGCAACATCGATCTGTTCACTATGGGTCCCGAGGCCCGTACGCAAGTATGGAATCTCCGTGTTCAGAACATCCAAGGTGCTATGATCATCATCGGTCTCATACAAATGTTTTTGGGGTACTCTGGTAAGAATATAACTAAAAAATCCGGAAACCAAAATTGTAATAAATTATAATCTTATTAATGGTGAGGGGAAGAGGGTGACATGCTCGCTATAACAAAGTGATTCTTTTAAAGACACTCTTTGGAACACTGGAATACTGTGTATGGTATTATACATTTTGTACATTAAATACAAGCAAAATAATAAATTACCACCATACATAATATTATGTCTAAACATAGCCATCACACCGATCTTAACCTACATCAGCGTTTCTCAACCAGGGGGGTCGCAAACACCTTGACTTGGGGTCGCGTAGGTCAAAAATAATAAAACGCTGATTTACAAAATGACCTTTTTATTTAAATATTTAAGACTTTTTATTGAAAAACAAAAATTTAAATAATAATAATAAAATTATCCCTAAAGGATATACATAAATATGGTATTTATAAATTGATATTTAAAATGTTATATTTAGTTTGGTTATAATGATAGGATATTTTTATTGTTCAAATTTGTACCTAATATAGATGGAAGTCGGGTCGCGAAGTGATTGACCATATTTTGTACCTATTTTGGGGGGTCGCGACACTAAAAAGGTTGAGAAACGATAGCTTAGATGAAACAAAAAATCTATAAGTACTTCCAAGCTTTAGAACTTGCATGTTCTCCACTATCATCCTAAATCAAAAGCTCATCAACTAATGAAACACCTGGAAATCCTGCATGCTGCTTGAAGCTCAGATGATGTGAAGACTATTTGATAAACTAACATCTATCAGCTAATTTTTTTCAGCTCATGCTCTTATTTTACCGTCTTAACCAGATTAAATAAAAATAATAATAATAATTGAAAACTATGTTAACCATTATGTTGTCCACCCACACAAATATCCGCCTCAAGCTGCGTCTTTTAGTACTTACCTTTAATTGCATCATAAATTCAACTTTTAAAATACGTAAGCATAAATGGCCTGGCATAATTTGAGATATTTAGTATGTAGAACATCCAAATAAGTGTAATTTTTGTCTTAGTAATGTGAGTGTCTATTAAAAGGAAAAAAATAACCCTACAAAATACTGTCGGTTATTTCGAAAAATTTACCAATTTACCAATTTCACCAGTTGGTGCATTATAATTTGTTATTTTTTAGTATCGACTAAGCCTCATTGAGTATAAGCCGTTATTGTTAGTACAAATAAAACTGGGTAGACAACCCGAACATTTGACAGGCATCTTTTTAAATTTGTATCAAATTGGTGTGTTTAAATATAGATTTTCTCCATACAATAATTTTTTCTCTATTAAAAATAAATATTAATTACTAGATTATTATTTTTCTGTTGCCCTTTGGCCATTTCCGTCCCATTTAATTACATAAATAATTATTTGGTGTGATATTAGTCATCAGTTATTCTACTTATATACAGAAAACATTAAATTAATATTTAGATTTAATAGTTAATACCATTGATCGTCTTGACTTTTATATTTATTGAAACTATGATAATAGCAGTGTCCTATAACTCATGAATAAATTATTATTGTAAGTAGGTTTTTTTTTAATTTTAAGAAAAAATTGTTTTTGGACTGCAGAAAATGTTCGATTATTCCAAATTATAGGTGTAGCTGATGTTCCACTGTATAATTTATTTTGTATTATAATATTATAAATATATCGTAATCGAAAAACGGAAACCATTATTCGGACGTCAATAATATTATAAATATGTACTTAAGATTACATATTAATATAATATTATCAATATTCATAACAACAGCGTCCAAACGATTTTTTTTTTACCGATTTAGAAAATCGTCTATTTGTCCATACTTACTCTATGTGTTATATATTTATATGAGTTGAACTGATCGTTATATCATCATTGTCGGTAACACGTTGTACCTGCCTATATCCGCCTGTTACACGTTGTTATAGCAAACAATATTTTAATTGTGTGCCTTTGACAACCAATCTGCAGACATCCAGACAAGCTTAAGTATGGCGGCAACGATGTTATTAATAAAATATTATACGACCTCAGCAATGTGCGCATACGATAAAATATATTTATACACATATATATTATATTGCATTCAATATTAAACCTCTTTCCGGTCATTAGGAGACCTCACCCAATAAGCTAACCTGTGTCGCCAAACTAAATAACTAATATAATAATAGGCACGCGATTAGTGATGGGTGGGTGGTTAAAGGTTAAATAGACATCTTAATATTTGTGACATAAGAAAAATAATCTTTCATCAAAAGAACATAACTATATTTTTTTTATCCGAAACTAAAAATTTTAAAATTAATTATTTGTTACATATTACGACATTAAATCTTCAACGGTACCGACCACAGTCGCATTATTTAAAATAACCATAGGTACCTGAGTATCCTACACGAAGTAAAATGTTTATTTATTTTTTATTATTAAAAATTATGAAAATAATTTTAAATTACAATTTACAATAATGCACTAACGTAAAATATGACGATGGTCTGAATTTGAACTGCGGTTCGCCACTTGCCCACCCCTTCTATAAAGTAATAATAAAAAAAATTCACAATTTGTATGTGAATCTTAGACTTAGTTATTTGATAATGTGTAATTATGATTGGTAATGAGCTGTTCTCTTGTCTTCCATTATCATGAACTTTTTAAATTAAAATAAAGAATAATTGTACATGGGTGACCGGGGTGTGTATAAATAATACCATATTGATTAATGATTATAATTAATACCAATTTGCGACATTTATCCTACAATATTGTGTCCAGATTTCGAAAATGGACCTATTTCCGACGCCCTGTATACCTTTTTATGTACCTACCTATATTATATATTTTATAGACCACATAAATTACATCGATATTATAATCGTTGACTGTCATTTTTATATTTATCTTTATTACCTTTTAGGAATTGTCGGAAAATCGCTGAAATATATTACGCCACTGACCGTAGTTCCAACCATGTGCCTCATAGGGCTGTCGGTCATTGAAAAAGGAGTGTTTCTCATGTCGGGAAATTGGACTACGGCCATCATGTAAGTTATATTTTATACATAAATTATATTTTACCATGTTTAGTTACCTAAACTTACACGTTAGAAGTTGATCTCTACAAACTATACTTTCTGCTCGATAAAATATAAAATATCGGGTTATCGACAAATTGTGTGTCATATCAAACACAAAATCAAAATGTTCGTTTTTCAAATTTTAAAGTCTTTTTAATGATGTTTAATATAATCAAAATACCACGACTGCATGACGTCAAACCTCAATTAAAAATCGTTTGGGTAGGATTGTGATATTAATATATCATTCGTATTATAACATATTACAACCAATTACTTAGTGATAAAATTCATAATATGACTATTTTAATGTTTAAAATTAAACCATTATTTGTTTCCATTGAAAACTGTTATTATTCCATAAAAAAAGTTACAACTTTATTCCTCGCTTATTAAAATATTTGAGTTATTTTTTTGACGTTACTTTTACAATTGTGTACCTATTTAATACCTCTACCTAATTGAAAACTTATACCCCCCGGCCCCCACATTTTAATAGACATATCAAGGCTACTAGTTAGTAGGCCAAGTCGAAATTTTTGGTATCGTGTGTAAAAACCTTTTTTTAATCTCACTCCAGTTTCGTGGACAATATTTTCAAATATTTATTTTCTAATTTGAGGGCCAGACTAGAGGCAATTTGAATAGCCTAAATAAAAAATCTATAAATCTGACTCGATCATCTGATTTGTCCGAAAGTGATAACCTATACTGCCATTACAGGAATTTTTACATTATGTCCTATACATGTTTTCCATAACGTTAAGTTGCCAATAATTGTTTTACAATCCTTATCGGTGTTCGCTTATGAAGTTTTTAATTACTTATAAAATTGTTTTAAAAGTGTATAAAAAAACAATTATCAGATAAAACGAATGCATATACGAGACACATAGAAAATATTGTAATTATTTCTTAAAATTTCAATATCATATGAAAAATAAAATCTGTCTTATAGTGTTTTTATAATTAACTTCAACCTTGAGCATTTTTTTGAAAACTTTAATTGTGCGTTATCAAACTGTAATTATAATAATTTTGAGTATTATTAGGTCTATATTATAACATGCTTAAATTGTGCTCACAAAAAATGTATTATCATATGATAATTATGTATCACGCTGTGTCCAGTGTACTTTATAAGATAATGCTGTTTGGTTTGTGGTGATGAATAAGGAATAATATTATATGTAATAAACTAATAAACAAACAGTATTATAATAATTATTGGTATAACGTAACTTAATACAGCACTAAAAACGAATAATAAGAGTTATTTTTTTCAAGACTTTAACCGACGACCTCAAATAACTATAATCGTATTAATTCACATATTTTATTGTGTTTACAGGACACTATTTTTACTGACATTATTCTCGCAATATTTACGTAAAGTCGCCATTTCCTTGCCAGTCTACTCGTCTAAAGGTGGACTCTTCAGAGTGCGGTTGAAAATTTTCGCACTGTTTTCGGTAAGACGGAGATGAGCTTTCATGAACTTTGTTCTTTAACTATTAATTTAAATTTTATAACCAGATATTACTCAGCGTGGGTATTATGTGGATCGCGTGTGTTTACATGACTTCCAAGAATAATCTATTACCAACGGATCCGGCAAACACAGAATCGAAGGCTGGAGTATTGCGTAACGCACCGATATTCCGAATACCTTACCCGTGTAATAAAATATTATTGGGAATTCGTTTCAACATTTAAGAGCTCTGTGTAGAAATACAAAACGCGTTTCGGTTTTATTATGACAGGGGTATATAAAAAAAATTTAAACTTAATTTTATCTATGGCACATTAATTAATGAGCTGAAATGTATAAAATTTAGATGTCACACAGTCCACCTCCCTGATAGATCACTTGCAAATTTAGTTAAATTAACCATTACACCCTTAGCACGCCAATCGATAAGAAAAGAAAAATAACTCGAGCTCAAAATTTGTTGATGCGAGTTGTACTCGAACCTTTACGGCTACATTATTATGTCAATACTAATTACTATACCTGTTTTTATAGTTCAATGGGGTTGGCCGACAGTTAGTTTGACATCGATATGTGCCATGCTACCAGCGCTTTTTGCCAATATTGTAGAGTCTGTTGCCAATTATTACACGTGTGCGAGATTTGCCAGTAAGTATATTATTACATTTATTATCGATGATATACACGACAATTTTCAGCTTACTCCTCACGTATCCAACTAAGATTAATAACTACTGATTTTTTTTGAATTATGAACATTACCAGTCACATGCTATAAACTATAAAGCAATGGTGTGCATGGTATTTGAACAATGGTTGTTGAATTAAATAAATGTCAGCTGTTCACCGTTATTTGTAATAATTATTTAAACCGTATTTAACCACTATTAGGTTAATCCATTTTACCGAAATTTGACTAAAATATTTTACCATAGTTTATTATTTTCCGTCCAATTCAATAAACTATGAGTTGCGATTTACTTGTGTGGGCCCGAGGTTTATTTGTACAATTTGATATAGATTACATCCTTTCCCTCCTCCCCGTAACCGAAACCCTTGTGTTAGTCAATATTATGTTATGTATAGCATATATGGTAAATTAACTAATTAATGCCTAAAACGGTGTAAATAATTCATTTTTTAATTGTTATAAATAATTAATAAGTGGGTATGTTATACTATTTATACATATTCTCTTAGTATTTAATGTGCATTGGTGGTTTATATTGTTACAGATTTGACAAAACCTCCACCGAGTGCGGTGAATCGGGGTATCGGCATCCAAGGTATCAGTACGATTTTTGCCGGTTTCCTTGGTACAGGTTCCGGCGTTAGCTCATCCAGTGAAAATGTGGGAAATATTGGCATCACCCGAGTAAGTATACTATATATTAATAATAATAATATTTAATAACACGACATCATCCAAAACTCATGCAGTGTTATTTCATTATATTATCGTTTAAAATTAAAAATATACAATGGACAATGGACATCGGTGCAAATAGTGTTGGTCTTGGCCCTCCTGACGGATACGAAGTCTCCCTTAAACTACCAATGCAGCTAACTACATTGCTAACCAAGTCCGTCGACTGGAAACACATTATTCAAAGAATACAAATTATGTGCTTTAAAATATTTAAACTTACATAAGTATTTGGTATCATATAATAATATTATGTAGTATAATTACCAACAAATTACTAAATATGTAGGTACTAAACAATTTATTATGTTTACTCGTAATCCAAAAATGTTGTTGTTAGATTTTATTATCACTTATGAGTTGGTGTGGAGTAGGGGACGAAAGCCCTCGTGGAAGTCTTCTGTTAAAAAAAATCATATGCTCCAATCGGTCACATAGATTTACTTGGTCTTTTTGCTTATCTGACGGTCCAGAAAATAAATGTATTAGTCTTGAGTTTCATACTATACCATAGTATCATAAGAGCGTATTTATTGTGTGTCGTTATTTGTTGTATAGATATAAAATATAAACGTAATCTAAAATCACATGGAACGATGGAACTATACATTAATATCGTCCGACAAGCATATTATGCTTATGATATATAATAATATACAATTGTAACAATATCCATGTCAATGGTTATCGCTATATATTATTTAAATCCAGAATAACATAATACATACTGTTTTTTCGTGATATAGAGTACAATATTGAGGACCTCATATTGTATTTTTAATATAGTCAGAAACGTCATGTTTCAATAGCCACCTGCAACATAATCGATACAATAATAATTTCAATACTGATTTTTGTTTCGTTTGTTTGCTTTTAAGATGTTAGAGCATTTAGAATAATAATTAGATTTACGGTCATCATATTAAGCAAACGATTTTTTTTTCCTAAGACTCGGTTAAACAGGTCCATACATTTTTAATTCGCTAATTTACCAGTGCTCAGTGCTGCAGGTTTTAGTCAACTTTAAAAGGTAACACATATGTTTTTTTCAAACATTGTTACAATCGGTGTATAAATAATATTATCATATATATACAACAAACAACACAATTTATTTAGTCAAATAAATAATGACTGAATTCTTTAATGTGTGTGATAATATATCTATTCGTGCTTCACAGTGGTCCTTAGTTCACGTCAAGCGATAATATTTTATCGTCAAATAGGTCAACGTTTATCACATATAACTTTGCAAAAATAATAGATTGTGGTCGATAGGTACACTCGATTTCAAACGGTCTTTATTATTATATTATTTCAATTCCATAATTACATGCCGACCTTTAAACGATTTTAAAATATACTTATAATTGTGATCTTTAATATAATATAATAGGCTTTACATAGGTAATGTATATGTATTCATTATTTTAAATACTTGTCAATCTATTTATTGAATTGCCTCTATTCCTAAATTAATTTAATTCACTTACTTAATTAATTTACTGCAAAATAATAACTACGAACAATGGACGCTTTTAGTGGGCAACTAACGTCCAACATAGTTAAAACAGAATTATATTTTATTTCATTCATACACATAATAATAAATTCAAAAATTAGAAATAACCTTTATAAATTAAATTGTACACGTGATGCTTTCATAAATGGATAATATTATAATATATTGTTGCGATTGCCGGGTTAAACAATATGAACATAAACTACGAGTACAACAGTTATTTTACGAATGTAGGTAATATTATTTATACGTTTATTTACTTGTATTATGCAAAACAAGCATCTATTTATTTTACTTCATAATAATTGAATCTTATGTTCTTACATAATCATATAATAGCAGTGTAATATCGTTAGTGCATTTATCATCTGGACGGAACTGGAATATTCTCCTGCTATATCGTCAACCATTCTTGCACTAGTGGTGTTCTTTGATTCGCCTACACGTACGGCGTTTAATTTTTGTAGCATTAAAATATAATATTAAATTTTACAATGCACATAGGCGCAAGCACAAAGAGGCACGTAAAATAGGTATGCAAAATAAAATTAGTTGCGTTCACAACAATTAATTTTACAAATTAATACATCTGAAATTTTTTTATTGTGTCGTACGTATGGTTAGTCTCTAAGGGGGTTATGTATAAGAAGTTTTTTATACGAGTGTTTACTAGAATAAAATACTTGAAATGTTATAAATATTAAAAAATGTACAATCAATAAATAATATTTAATAGAAATATGTTCTCCAACCGACGGTGTTGTTTATAAGCTTGTTACACACTTTTAAATTTTTAAAATCGAACAATAGGATACACAGGAGTCATTAAGTACCCACATATTTTTTATGCATTTAGGTCGTTTTAGTGAAAAAAGTACGAGGTTTGCATTGGTCTCGTAAGTCATTTAGAAAATATGATAAGTATGGCGTATACCGTGGTGTTTCAGGTGTGTAGTAGAAACGTGATTGGACTCGCAGCCTGCATATTGATCGTTGCATCCACGTTTACCAAACTAATCGCATTGTTGGTGACTTTGCCTGATCCAGTACTCGGCGCAATGACATCCGTACTACTCGTGTTGATCGGAGCCGTAGGCAAGTATATTTAAATATATGTTATAACTTATAACTTATGCCATGTAATGTCTATGTACAATATTGTTTACTAATGGTTACCATATCATACGGTACCAGAATTAGGGGTTGCTGCTCGTTTTCAAACGGGGACTTGATAGTAGGTACTTTTGTGCGTTTACCGATTGGTTTTTTCCACTGATGTGGATGGAGAACTGAACTTTGGCATATTTTTTTTGACGAAGTTTCGTTCGTGGGGTGTATACAGGATCATGACAAAACCAAACCACGCATACAGATGTATCTTAAATTGACAAAATGTTAACGGTTATAATACCATAAAAGTCAATGAAAATAATTTTCTTGGCATTGTATATGCAATTAATAATTTTTATGTAGCAGGCTGTGATTTAGCTAAAAATCACTTTCCCAATGTTTACCGTGGATGTTCTTTCCCTTGTTTTTTTGCTGTAAGAACTTGGTATTGTGTACCTTATCAGGTATACATAAATTGCCCCCACACGTGAAAGATAATAAACTAAACCTTGGTGCATCTTATTACGTTGATTATAGATAATAAGTATTAACATAAACCACCTATCCTAACGACGTTTGTGGACGCACTCTTTATTATATTAGTAAGTTATTCTATTGGTTTTTTGTGCTTAAATATTATAATATATAAATGTTTATTAAAATAAACACATTTTATATTAAATAAAACGGTCTTGTGAGTCACAACTCACAACTATGTATAATATACTAGTATACAAAATTATGTACGTATACCTATCTACTTTAACACAATACTTAAAACTAATTGCTTGAATATTAGTTACACAATTTAAATGTTTTTTTCATCGTATTTGTTTAAAATTTTAATTTTCTGAAGAAAATAAATAATAAAACTTAAAAAAAACGGAATATATTTTCAATTTTTATCCGAAAGAAATACATATTATAGTACAGTTACTAAAACCTACAACGTCTCTTTGTTATCGAACAATCAATGTTTATTTTATTGTTGATAATTAATTGTTTTATTTATTTTTATTGTTTGTACAGCGCTGTCTAATCTACAGTTCATAAATCTCAACTCGTTAAGGAACATGTATATTCTCGGATTGTCAATATTTTTTGGATTGGTAATAATAATTATAACTAAACTAAAAATATGTTTAACTGTAATGGTCAAATAGATGGATGGACGTCTAAATTTTAAACTATTATATTAATGTCAATTTTGAATTTGTTTTACTTGTAGGCGATTCCAAAGTACGTATTGGTACAAGGTAATACTATTAATACCAAATACGAAACCGTCAACGACGTCCTTATTGCGTATCTGTCCTCTGGAATATTTATCAGTGGATTTATTGGTTTTATTTTAGATAACACTATTCCAGGTATCGTATACGTAAATATATTATGGTGTATTTATATTTTATATACATAGGAACTAGGTAGCCATGATTGGAAATTGGGAGGAGGTGGGGTTGAGATGGTAAACTCTCCTGATTTTTATATTTAGTTGACTTTTCGGGGTCAACATTATGCTTACTTGAAGGAATTAAAACTTTATTAATTTATTATTAATTGAATGATTGTCGAAGTGTCATAGTTACCGACTAAAAGCCTAAATAAAAAAAAAAACTTTATTAATTTATTATTATTATTGGTGCTATTTAATTATTTATATACGAGACATTTTATTATCCTATAATTTCTTTCATAGGTCATAGTTGGTTTTTTGGAAATAAAGATAAACCAGTGTTGTTCTTTGTTTCATATAATATATAACGATAAACGCCACCCAATCTGCTATAGTGATGTGTCCAATGTATACCTATATAGACTCTATAGGCAATAGAGTTTAATAGTATAGTATTAAGTAATTACAAAATGTTGTTCAAAATCACATTTTTGGATACACAATTGTTAAGTTCAGATGATATAGAACTGAAATAGACCTAGGAAAGTTTACTATCATTCCAAAATTTGTGAGGGACGTGACTACGGCGAGAGTATATGAGAATATGACCCTAGAATTTTTTCAAACTCATGCTTCAAGGATCAAGTAATTCATGAAGCATTACCAATCATATAAGGGTTATAAATTATTACTAATATATTCATCGGTTATTATTGATTAGTACTTATAAATGTCGAATCCTCCCTGCAGCTGTAAATATCCGGCTGTGAAACTACACTTTAAAAATTTGGTGCTATAATTAAAATTGACTTGGATGCATGGGCGATTGTTAATGCGACTCGACAATAGCAACTTGTAAATTGGTCCAAGCTTTTTTTTCAACTATATATATACCCCATTTACCAACCCATAATCGTATTGAGGGCAAACATTGATTATTGACCTTTTTATAACCTGCTATTGCCGAATTTAATATTTCTACATTTGCACAGGTACCTACAAACTTATTATGTGTCTCTGGTATAACTTATAAATGCTTTCTGATATTGTTTCAGTGAATTTTAGAAACTAGTTAGCTAGACGACACGAATGTCGCACAGTGAAAATATTGTGTCACCTAGTTGACTGTACTTGTAAAGACTGGGTGACACAATTTTTTTTAATGTAAAATTTTTATGCTACATATGTAAAAAAAAAATAATTAAATAATGAATGAATATTCTATCTTCTGTGAAATTCCATCTTATTTTAAATAAATTATAATAACCTAACCTAACCTAACCTAACCATCTTCATTAACTTTTACTATTTAATTTTACTTTCTAGTATCAATATCTATTTTTAATAATTAAGTATGACTCATGAGAGGTGAGCATAAAATAACTCCATCATTCTATAATAGTATAATTTAATATTTATTTTGAGAATATACTTTTTGTCACCCAGTGGAAATTCCTTAAAAAATTCACCAGATTTTTTTTTATACATAAACCATTTCCTTATACACAAACCATTTCCTTATACACATACATTTCTAATATATTTATATTAAATCACCTAAATCGTTTACATTTTTAAAGCACAAATTTAATAGTGCAATAAGCGGAATAAAATAATAATCTATTATTTCATGTTTATAATAAAGTGTTACTAGAATTTTTCTAGCAGAAAAATCCTAAACTAGCCCCTTACTCCCTCAAAAAAAAAAAAAAATGGAGCTACTGTATTCGATTTATTGGGAAGGGCGGGGAAGGGAAATGAATCTTTTAGCTTTGAATTTCAATACTAGTTGTACAAATATATTATAACGAGAAACATAATAAACTCGTATTTAATTAATATTATATTCATGTATTTTAAAATAAACCACAGTGGATAATGGGATTATATATATTAATATTTTTTAGGTAATCACTAATCACTAATTATAGTTATAATAACTAGGTACTTTATTAGAGATTTTACGCATTATTTTACACATGCATAAAAATCTATCGTTATTTAATTTAATGTTTTTGATGTACTGTATTTAGTTGATGACGATGACGCAATGAACAATAACGGGTACCACAATCCCGGAGACGAACTTATGATATCCAACAAAACCGTAGACGAACAAGTATACAAGATTTCAGATTGCCTCTACGATAAAATTAATTCTTTTTTAACATTTTTCATGTAACACGTAATATAATAATATTATTACGTTATACTTACATGTTTATCTATAAAGCCTAATACATATATACTATGTATATTCGATTGACTGATCACAATTTTTTATTTTAACTTTTTCATACTTACATTACTACTGTATTTTGTTTGTGTATTCATTTTATTTTTTTTATTTTTATGATGTTTATTTATTAACTATCTGTAATAGTATTGTAAAGTTCGATGACTACGCGCATTTGATTCGTTTCATGACGTGACAGAACTATCTATTTCCTGTGTCTATTTAAATATAATATATAATTTATATATATATATATTTTGATTGTGATTGGATTTATGTATTGTTTTGTATAGCCGTATAGGCTAAAAAGTCATGGTAGTCCACGGATCCGACGTGATGTTTTGTGCCGTTATAATAAATATCTAACTCAAACGTTTCGGTAAAAATTAAATTATCCCGTGTGTGCTTGTATATTTAAGAAGTCGAGGAAAAACGTTTTGAAGCCTTCGAGTTGATAATTCTGGAACCTCTCCTTACAACGGTGACTACCGTATTGGTAAAAACAAAATTAAACATAGAAGCTATATATGTTTGCAATATGTGGTCTGGACATGTTTTTAAAATCGTACAAAAACATCTAATTTCACTGCCTACATCTATTATAACGTAGTATTGAGTATTTGAGTATATATTATTATTTATTACGGTATTATATTATCATCAGATGTTGGTTCTAACATTGACAACATTAACGTACCTATTATATTATATTATATATTATTGTTTAGTTATTAATCAATAATCATATTACGTTTTATGCATATCATCGTGTTGTATAATAAAGCGATTCTTTTACATCTTAGAACCAAAACACTCGATATTTAGAAAACGTGGTTAAGCAATAGCTTGTAGGTAACTAGAAATTATTTATTTTATTATTTTATTAATCATTGAACTTAACTTTAGGATTACCTAAAGTCCTAAACTAGGTATGCCTATATATGTTACGATTATTGTACTATGTAGATTTTGATTTCATCAATGTCTGCAGTAAATCAATTTGTACAAAGACATTCGATTTTCTTCGTTTGCTGTACTGTTTAATAATTTATTGTATTATGATACAACACTGCAGTGATTATTATTTTATTATTTCACTGTAAAAAATAACATATGTGCGTGAGTCATCGCTTCGAGCAAATATACATACATTATTATTAATTGCAATATACTTTTTTTTTAAGGATGTATTGCAATTTTTTCACTCCAAAATGGACGCTCATATCCGTTTAAATAAATTATACACTGCATATATGTATAAAAACCTATATGGGTATAAATGTTAATATGATTTTCAAAACGTTTATATTATCATATTTGTATCATTCATATTTTTTATTTATCTATCTATTTTATTTTTTTTTAATTATCTAAATCGTTGCATAAAAATATTTATTCGAAATTCTTCGAAATTCTACCGATGTTTGTTTAATATACAATATTATATTTGTATACTTTGTCTTTATTTTTTGAAAAGGTTATGACAAGACAATTCATTATTTTTGTTAAAAGTCATGGTACATTGCAAGTACCTGTATGACGGCCGACGAGCACTTCTTACTTACTATGCTGCCCTCGAGAATCGTTGAAAATAAAAACGTTGTCCTCGGCGTCTAAAAAAGATCGAATAATAATTCAAATAACACAACGGAAACCATTGCTACTGTAGATAGGTAATAACTAATATTATTTTATTAGTAAGTTATTACATAGGTTCGTGCCGTTATATTATAATATATAGTATTAGTAAGTATATAGTAACTGCAGTTTATAGGTACGTCGGTAACACGTTTTTTTTGTTTTCGTGACACTACAGATTTGTGATCATATTTTATGATCGTCCTGCAGAGGACATGACGGTGAATATCTAAGAAAATATAGACACGTCGACGAAGACGATGAGTATCTCTATAGCCGATACACTGACGTGGGTTTAAACGCTCAGTTTGTCGAAGAATATTAGACATTAAAAATCGATGTCGGAAGGTGTACTGCATCTATATAACAGTATTATTATAACAAACAAACATAAAGGTATATGATCGATTTTATCAGCAACACAATATCGCGAGTCACTTACAAAAAGTGTCACTGTCGTAATACCTATAATATAATATCATACCCGTTTTTAAAACTTTATATACTTCTACAATCTACAGAGTGATACTTACCGAGCATGCCCAACCCCATTTTTCCTTTAATAATTAACTAGGTAATTCAAAATTCAATTTCCTGATTTTTTGACGATTACTTTATTTAAAAAAAATACTTAGATTTTTATAGTTTTATACCATTCAAAAAGCGTCCTTTGGCGATACCGCGCCTTCCTCTTCTTAATCAGATATTAATCAATATTAAATCTATCAGCATTTTATAATTTATTAAGATTATCTAAGTTTGACATTACCCATTTATACTTGATTAAATATTACAAATTACAATATCTATTTTAAAGTTTTCAAGAACTTTAATATTATATTATCCTAAGACCTAAGTTATATACATTTTAATAGCTACGAAACCACTAGTTCAATTTTTGATTTAAGTACGTTAATATTTTAAATAACCATCTGCATAAAAATTTATAGTAAACAACGTTGGTTCTTAATTTACTAAAATAAGTTAGTATAATCCCACAGGACATAACTTATAAATGGAATAATAAATCTAAGTATTTGAAAATAAAGCCATTATAACTTATAAGTATACTTAGAAGTTTCGAAAATCAGAATTTGAATATGTTATTTTTTAAAGGAAAAAATGGACGTGATCATGCTTGGTGAATCACTCTGTATATTGTATAATATGTAAATGACATAATGTGGCCAATTCCCCTTTACCCACGTGTCACTATATTTTTGTGTGTATTTTATAATCTCGTAGGGCCTAGGACGTAGGCGTTTACATACTGTGCAGCATCCGCCAGTGGATATCATAGTAAAATTATATATTTATATCATTCACTTTTATTGTAATATTATATTAAAATATAAAACAGTTTTCGTACACAACTCATCGTATTACCTATGTAGTAAACTCTAAAATGTGAAAATTGAATGCAAAATTCCTATTATGAGTATGGTATATTTTTTTTTAGACATTTTAAGTTCGAATTTTGATGAAAATAGATATTTAAAATTTAAATGAGAATAACGATTTTAGTGATTCTGTTGTACCCGATTCTAAAAATATTATTCGCAAGGGCATGACACTTTTTGTCCATTATGTAATAATATAAATAAAATACATTAATAAGTAAAGGTAGGTATACATTGTTGTCAACTATAAGCGAAGGCACAATGTACAAAGGTACACGTTCAATATATTTAGACTGATGTTAAGTGATGGATGTACGTACCATTTCACGCCATTCAACCGCATTATATACGTCACATGTCATTATCGCGGCTTAATAGTTAAGAGTTAATTTCGGTAAAATAATATCTTTCATAAATTAATTTTACATATCAACAGTATTTGTCCAGTATTGCTGATCATAAATTAGAAGAAAAATATCGATGACATTTACCGGTCCTGACTCAAACGTAGGTTACCTTAGATACCTTAGTATTTACTAATGTAATGTTTTTTAGCAACAATTGGTGCAACCTATACCGTACAGTGTACACTATAGTTACAAATTATCCTTGAAAATTCAGGTGGATCATCTCATTAAAAATCATTTTTCGTTCATAACATGGTTTATAATTGGTTTCAAATTTAATACGCATCTATTACAGTGACTTATAAGGGCTTACCCATTGACGAGGTACAATCCACCAATTTTGAGGTCTACTTTAAATTAATTAAATACAAATTATGATATTATGTCGTTTTAGTTATCTATAATTTTAATGAACGCTTGCTATTGTTATAAAGTATAGTACATAATTTCACGGAACATATTGGTACAATACAACGATAAAAATAATTATTATGAGTTGAAAATCATTTAACATTCTAAATGCTATATCTTATATATTCGTTAACATATTAAATATGGAAAGATAATAGGTTTTTTTAATATAACATAATATACACACGTGGCACTTGTATAGGTAGAAGGATTGGACTTAAACATAATTAAATTTATATCATAATATATAATAATAAATAATATTAAATAAATAAATGTGTATAATAATTATCAATTAGGTACCTGCAGGTAAACCTAACCTGCAGTATATTAAAATGTATTTAATTATAAAAGAAAACAGAATTTATATTATCATTACTATGATCCAGTAATAATTAATAATGTATATTATTATAATTGATAAGTATCGATGTAAATATTAAATATATTTTTTTAATCCATCTATTAATCATATATCTATGATATTGATCATAATTCATAATCACCTATGCATTATATCTATGCAGGTCTACCAATAATAGACTTTGCACTAACACGTAGTTCAACTCGATTTGTTTACCTATAGTTGTTAATTATTATAATTATGATTAGGTCCGTATAGAGGTAATAGGTACTCGCCAAATGGTTATAATATTAGTCATTATATTAAATACATATACATAAATATATTAAAATATCATATTTTTGTTTATATTTTTCTCGATGGCATTTCTTTAAAAATATGGAGAGTAATATTATAATAATTAAATAAATTTAAAAAAAAATGACATTTTTTTTGTTTATTTAAGATATTCATTATTAAAAACACGAATAAACGATAATCGATAAAATAAAAATACATAATATTTTATTAATTTATTGTAAATGTAAGAGTTAATATTGTCATCGTATATTCCAGGTACCTGCTACCTACGTACCTATATTTTATTATATTACAGCAATATAGCATATTATTGACAATATATGTTATACAATTTACATAATACTTTTTTCGTTGGGGCAGTACAGTTGTATAGCGTATACAACAGTTCTTATAATAAGTTATTTAGAACAATAATATTTCATATATCTAAAAATATTATATATTTTTCAGTTATGAACTGACCATGGTCTATAATATTACTTATATCTTATAAGTTTATGAAAATTATGACGGGTCGATGGCCGTATTATACAGTATACGATAATATAATATAATTTATCAATAACATTATGGCAATAATACACACGTGTTATAGGTATAGAAACAATTATTTTATTTATAAAATACTTAAACACAATATCAAAATGTCCAAAGTCAAAATGCGAAATCCTGTCAGGTGACTCAATATCGTGATGCGTCACTACTACATTCAGCCATTAAGTTGTAGAATACTAGCTGCTATGTTGAGATAA